TACATTTCCGGCTACCATTAAGTCAGTATGTGAGTCTATCAAAATATATTCATTTGCAACACAATATCTCAATGCTTCCAGAATGGCTTTCACTTCAGCTTCTGTGTTTGTGCCTTCTTCTATCTCTTTGCCACACGCATATACTAAATTTCCTTCTTCATTTCTCAAAACATATCCAATAGAACTTCTCCTAGGATTGCCCCTAGAAGCCCCATGTGTATTGACCTTTACCCAGCCTTGTTCAGGAAACTCCCACATCACCTTAGTTTATGTCAACTTAGGTGTAAATTGTTCCATCATATGAATCAGATCAGGCCATTTGTGAGGAATATTCTGTAAACTTGGCTTTCTAAATTTTACCAGGTACTGCAAAATGGTTGATACCTTGTATATAACCCTATTCACTGACACTGCATCTCCATATTTGTAAGAATTTCTCCTCTTCCATAACTCTCACACTATAAATGGATGGCAAAGCTTGAATTATTGGTTTGATTCTTGGTATTGTCGGGGCAGTCCAACACTTCACAATAGCTTGGTGAAATGTTAAACCTTCAATTTTAATACCAGCAGCGGATAAAAAGTATTGCCACACTTTTCTAGCAGCATAAGAAGTGAAAAATAAGTGTGGCATTGTTTCCTCTTGAGATGTAACACAACACCAACATTTAGAAACCATTTGATAGCCCAATATTCTTAAACATCCAAAGGGATTTTATTCTTCCACACCTTCCACATGAAGAATGAAACCTTAAATTGTAAACCTTTGATCCATATCATCCTATAAGCATTACAAGGTTTCCTTCTCATCCTTATATAGTCCCATGCAGATCTGACACTAAAATTACCCCTTGTTTCAAGTGTCCAAAATGGTTTGTCCAGAATAAAGCTCTTTCTAGGTGGCTTGATGTTCTGCAAAACGTGGTTGGCTAAGTCATCAGGTACGAGCTGCCTTAGAAGCTGTGTATTCCACCTCCTATCCTGAACTACTTCATTTATATTTTGGATCGATTCATCACAGAAGAAATCCGGTGGGGTAGTGAAGTATAAGGCCCCCAGACCAGTCCAAATTTCCATCCAAAACAAAGAAGAACCAATCTTTGTCTACTAGACAATTTGGTGCTCAATGTAATCCCTGCATTCTAGCATCTTCCGCGAGATATGGGATCCTCTTTTCCAAGGAACTATAATTGGATTCATTTTCTTGCAGTATTTTTGACATACAAAGGAACTCCACAGTGATGGCTTTGTTCGAAAGTTCCACCATAGTTTACAAAACAATGTCTTAGCTACATCATGCAGTGATCTAAATCCTACACCTCCTTCTTCAACTAGTAGACATAATTTATCCCATGAAGCTCAATGTCTGTGTCCCCCTTCTATTGAACTGCTCCAAAAGAACCTTGCCATAAGCTTGTGCAGTTTGTTAATTACATTGGTTGGTACATTAACAGCACACAAGAGATGTATAGGCATGCTTTGTATTACATGAGAGATCAAGACTGCTCTGCCTCCAATAGAAAGAAGCTTCCCCTTCCACGACTGCAATTTGTTCAGCACGTTATTTATCATTCCTTTATAATAGTCCATCTTCCTTCTAGCATAAAATATTGGGCACCCCAGAAGAGATGTAAAAGGAAAATCTTGTCTACCAATGACAGTAACTCTTTCTACCTTTCTCCACACCTCTTCATTAGCTTGATGATGCATATATATGGCCGACTTTTCTTTGTTGATCAACTGCTCTGAAGCTGTCTCATATGCTGTCAGCACTTTCATGATAAGCTGCAATGAAGTTGTATTAGAAGACGAAAAAATGATTGTGTCATCAGCATATGCTAAGTGATTGATCTTAGGGCTCCACTTTGGCATTCCAAATCCACAGAAGTATGGATTAGAATGGAGGGAATTCAATCCTCTGGACATTGCTTCAGCAGCCAAAATGAATAGAGTAGGTGACAAAGGATCTCCCTACTTAACACCTCTAGAAGACTTGAAGAAACCATGAGGCTGCCCATTTATCAAAACTGAGTACCAATTATTGGAAATTATCCCAAAGACCCAACCAATAAACATTTCTGAGGGAAAAAAATAATTTTGAAAGGAGAAGGGAATAGTATTATCAAAAAATATTTATATGTTGTTGGTTGGAATGGCAAGGTGAATAGTAATTTCGCCACTGTTCATTGGCCATAACTTCGGAATCCGGCGGTAGATTTTCACAAACTTGGTATCAAAAGATTCATTTTCTCATTGCGCACAATCCCCAATTGGTTTCATAGTAAAACTCATAACCATTTGGTCTAGATCTTAATTCTATTTTCTGCGAATTACTGTAGCGCTAAGCTTCCTTGAAAATTTCAAATTTTCTGGGCTCTTTTCACAATCAAGTAGTGAGGAACTTCAGTGAATTATCTTTTACTTTAACAGGTGGGATCTGTATTACCAACTTTTCTTTCTTCTTTGGAATATTGAAGAAAAATCTTCATTTGTCTTGCTTAAAAATCAACGAAGTACTGCCATAGCCACTGCGGCCAGTGGCCAGCTTCCATCTTTGTCTGGGCCATCTAGTCAACCTCCTGACCGCACACAGCCAGGCATGACAATAAATCCAATGGATTATGCAAAGGCACTAAAACCTACGCCCAACACTTCTACTATCCAAGATACAACATCAGTTGATCCAATTCCTCCAAGACAAGCTCAATTCTTTCAAGGACAACCAACTGTATACTTTACAGAATCAGAAGTTGAACGTATGAACTATATTGAAGGACTGCAATAGGCAGTTGTGTGCAAATTTTCATACGGATGGCTAGATATCAATGAAATACGTCGAATTGTTCCTATGCAGTGTGGTATCAAAGCTGATTGCAACATTGGATATCTTCGTGACAGGCACATTTTGATTCGATTTTCATTATGGCAAGATTACGTAGATTTCTCGTCAAAAGGTGTGTACTATGTTAAGGATAAGCATGGGGATGGATATGAACTAAGAGATCTATGATGCGAAATTTAAAGTTGTAGAGGAGACACCTAAGGTAATGGCTTGGATTTCATTCCCTAATTTGCTGCCTACTTATTTTGTCAAAGAATGCTTGTTCTCTCTAGCTTCTGCTGTAGGTAAACCCCTTCACTTGGATTTGGCTACTGTCAAAAAAACTAGACCTAGCTGTGCTCGTGTTAAAGTGTTGGTGGATCTGCTAGCTGACCTCCCCAAGAAAGTTCGAATGGACATTGTCAATGAAGTAAATGGGGATGTAAGAACTGAATGGGTAACCATTAACTATGATTATTTGCCAAAGTATTGTAAAGAGTGCAAGTTACAAGGCCATGACATACTTGAATGTTGGAGAATTAATCCTGATTTAAGGGAAAGCAAAAATGTCCAGCAGTAGGAAAATGTCAAAAATGTGAAACAAGGCACTAATAAACATGCAAAACATGATGCTCCTTTGATGATCCTTACTAGTGGTAAGGTAGTTGGTAATGCATGCACTCAATGGAAGGAAGTTCGCGATAATAGGGGACTAAACAAAGGCAAACAATCTAAAGGTACTACGACAGAAGGGAAAGAAATAGTTCTTGTTAACAATACAGCTGTGACAAAACAAATACAAACAACCAACAAATTTATAGTTCTAAAAATTGAAAATGGTGAGATCAATGAAGGTAACCAATTTGCAGTTGTGGGGGAAACTCCAGTTAAAAAAACCACAGGCAATAATGATATTCAGCAAAATAATTCCACAACAGTTGTAGAGAATGAGTCAGAGGAGCAGGAATTTGATTTTTCAACTCGACAAATAGTACAAAAGGTAACTTCTCCTAGCTCATCTAGGAGACAATCATCCAAGACACAACCCAAGAAACTGAACCCTGCAGCACCTACTTTCAATCCTACAGCAATAAAAATCATGCAGCAAATAGGGAACCAACAGCTGATTGTGTACAAAAAGATTTGGGGAATGAGCAACATTTTCACAATGAGTCAACTGCCCATTAGGTACAAATGGCATTCAAAAATAATGTAGTTCAAGTCAATACTTCATGTCAAGACATTCCTTCACAGGACACCAAAGTTGAACAACAAGTAGCAAACAACAAAGAAAATGAATTTGTTGAAGATACAGATTTTGAGAAATTCATGACCAATGAAAAAGAAAAATGGGCAGGAGGGAGATTATGGCTCAACCAAACAGAGGAAGACTTAGTAGATGGTCAGATTCCAGATACAATGCATAGTGATGAAGAATTTGGAGGAAATGAAGTGGAAGATGAGGATCAAAGTGTTAATGGTAATGCCAATGCAATCAATATTCAAAACATAAGTGAATGCACAAATGCAACAACAGAAAAGACAAAAGAGGGGAACATTAATATTATAGATCCAGGAGGGACTTCACATAATGCTCTTAGTAATGCCTTGAAAGAAGCTTAAAATGCAGACAAGAAACAAGACGAGCTATGACAGTGCAGGTTTATGCAAGAAGTACTGTTCCTTTGAGCACAGTGCAGGATGTAGCAGGAAGTAACGTTCCATTGAATAATACAATGTTGTTGACCAATGAACGTGCTGAAAAAGATGCAGAACTTATCAACCAGGCAGAGGATATTGTTACATCAAAAGAAGCGGTAGAAGCACATGATCAAGTTAACCATGCAGAACTTAAAGGTAGAGACATGGATGAGGAATCCACTGCACAAAAATTCCTTAATGTTGTCAAGCAGGGAGATCTGTCGCCAAGGCTTATTAAACTAGTAAAATCTGCAATAAAGGGAAAAAAGAAACAGTCAAAAGAGACTTCTATTGTCCCAGTCAGTGGAGTACAAACAAGGAGAATACTGTCCAAATCCCAAAACATTTAATGGATGCCATTATATGGAATGTCAGGTCAGTAAACACAATGCAAACATTTGAAAGGCTGATTACAATGAACAAAAAACATCATTTTTAGTTCATAGGAATCCTTGAACCTATGCAACAGTCTCACAAAATGGAGAGGTATAAAGCAAGAATTGGTTTGGCACAGGCTGTGGTGAATGTGTCAAACAAGATTTGGGCTTTTATTGATGAAATTTTTGAGGTTTCTATTTTATATAACATGACTCAACAACTGACTTTGAGATTGATGCACCCTGAAACACATGTTGAGCTCATCCTTACACTAGTCTATGCCAAATGTGATCGCACTGAAAGAATAGAACTATGGGATACTTTGTATGCAATGGCATCAGATATAACAGTACATTGGCTAGTTGGAGGCGACTTTAATGTGATAAGGGATGAGGAAGAGAAATATGGGGGATTGCCAGTTTCACTCATTGAAGTAGATGACTTCAGACACTGCATCAATACCTGCAACTTGACAGACTTGGGTTTTAAAGGAAGCATATTTACATGGTGGAATGGAAGATCAGAGGAAGACTGCATTTTTAAAATATTGGACAGATGTTTTGGCAATAATGAATTGCAACAGACCTTTCTTGGATGGGAGATAACTCACCTATCCAAAATTGGGTCTGATCATTGCCCAATGCTGCTGAAATGTGATATAGAAACTGCGCCAATTAGGAAGTCATTCAGATTTCTTAACTTCTGGACGAAGCATGAAACCTTCAAAGATGTAGTAAAGGAGAATTGGAATGTTGATTTTAGTGCTAACCCTTTCTGCATTTTAACTACAAGTTAAAGAAGCTTAAACAAGCACTATCTACCTGGAGAGGAGCTACATATGGGGATATATTCCAGAAGATTGCAAGCCTTAAGGAGGTGGTTATGGTTCATGAAAGACAATTTGAAGTCAATCATACACAGATGAATAGACAAAGATTACAACAGGTCCAAGCTGAAATGATTAAATATCTTGCATTAGAAGAAGAATTTTGGAGACAAAAAGCTGGCATGTTATGGTTCAAAGATGGCGATAGAAACACTAAATTCTTCCATGCCCAAGTTAATGGGCGAAGGAAGAGACTGAAATTATCAAGGATCCAGAATAACCTTGGTAACTGGATTGAAGAAGATCATTTAATAGCAGAAGAAGCAATAAAGTTCTACAAGGATCAATTTACAGAGAGTGCAGCTCAAAATGATTTTTATATTCTAAATCATGTACCTTCAATGGTAGATAGTGATCAACATGAAAGATTGATGGCTTTGCCTTCTAATGAAGAAGTGAAGAACACAGTTATGGGATTGAATGGGGACTCAACCGGTGGACCGGATGGACTCACTGGAGCCTTTTACCAAACATGCTGGGATATTATTGAAGAAAATGTAGTAAGATGGTCAAGGCTTTCTTTTGCGGTCAGCAGTTGCCAAGGAGTGTGACACACACAAACCTTATTTTATTACCAAAGAAAAAAGAAGTTATGACCTTTGCAGACATGAGACCAATTAGTCTTAGCAACTTTGCTAACAAGATTTTCTCTAGGGTTATTCATGAGAGGTTTGTTCAATTATTACCAAACATAATCTCAGAGGAACAGGCAGGTTTTGTGAAGGGCAGAAGCATAGTTGAGAACGTACTGCTAACTCAAGAAATCATTAAGGATATCAGGTTGAGAACAAAAACAGGTCCAAACGTTGTGATTAAGCTTGATATGACAAATGCTTATGATAGGCTATCATGGCTATTCCTGACCAAAATACTAAGGAAAATGGGATTTCCTGAAGCTCTTATTGGCTTGATCTTTGATTTGATTGGGAACAATTGGTACTCTATTCTTATAAATGGTCATCCTAATGGTTTCTTCTAATCATTGAGAGGAGTTAAACAGGGTGACCCTTTGTCACCAATTCTATTCATTCTAAAAGCAGAACCACTTTCTTGAGGATTGAATTCACTACACACTAACCTGTATTTTTGTGGATTTGGAATGCCAAAATGGAGCCCAAAAACAAATCATCTATCATACGCTGATAATATGATCATTTTCTGCTCTTCTGATGAAACTTCATTGAGACTTGTGATGGAGGTTTTGCAAGCTTATGAACCATCATCTGGTCAACTGGTGAACAAAGCCAAATCAGCCATATACCTGCATCATTTAACGAATAATGAGGTGATTAACAAGGTGGAAAGGATTACAGGTATACGAAGACAATGTTTCCCTATGACCTATCTTGGTTGTCCTATTTTTTATGCAAGAAGAAGGGGAGACTATTACCAGGTATTAATCACCAAGGTTATGGACAAATTGTAGTCATGGAAAGGAAAACTCCTTTCTGTAGGAGGCAGAGCTGTTTTGATCGCAGATGTCCTGTAAAGTATCCCAATTCATATGTTGTCAGCAGTTAATCCACCAAGTTATGTGATCAACAAATTACATAGCATTTTTGCCAAGTTTTTCTGGAGCAGCAATGTGGAAGGTAGCACTAGACATTGGGCTTCTTGGACTAACCTTTGTATGCCTTATGAGGAGGGCGGCATAGGTTTCAGGTCCCTACATGATGTATCCAAGGCACTATTCTGCAAATTGTGGTGGAATTTCAGGAGTAAGCCCAGTTTGTGGAGTTCTTTTATGAGTCAAAAGTACTACAAGAAACTGAATGCAGTAATTGTACCTTGGAAGCAAGGATCCCACGTGTGGAGAAAAATTCTAGAATGCAGGGACTTGATTGAGCATCAAATCTACTGGAAACTGAGAATGGGATCAGCTCTATTTTGGTACGACAATTGGACTGAGATGGGAGCCTTATATTTTCAAGTACCTGCAGAGTTTGGTATCGATGAGGATATTCATAATGTAAATGATCTGGTTGAAAATGGTATGTGGAATGTGGATAAAATGTTTGAGAGCCTACCAGAAGATTTGGCACACCACATTGTGCAGAATATTAGACCACCAACTGAAAGTTCACAGTTAGATACTCCTTTCTGGATGCTTGAAACAAGGGGACATTTTACAGTAAAGTCTGCATGGGATTACCTGCGAAGAAGAACCAACCCAAGATTAGCTTACAAGATGATATGGGTAAAAGGTTTACCTTTCAAGATATCCTTCTTCCTGTGGAAGGTATGGAAAGCCAAACTGCCACTTGATGATTTCTTGTGTAAACTAGGATACTCCATGCCATCTAAATGTTGGTGTTGTGCTGATCCTAAGGAGGAGTCATTACTACATTTGTTCTTCAAATCTAATGCAGCTAGAAGTGTTTGGACTTACTTCCTGAGGAGAGCAGGAATGGCATTAGATGGGTTGCCATTACATGCATTGTATGGGAACTTTGGAAGAGAAGAAACAGTTTGAAATATAGAGAAGCAGTATCAGTGAGCAGAGTAATTTACCAGGTGTCATCTACTATGCAAGCACTGGTACAACTGAAAAAGCATGGACTACATGTGCCCCAAAAGTGGCTGGAGTTACTGACAATGATGGAGCAATACACACCTCGACTGAAATATGATAAAGTTTTATGGGAATTTCCTTCAAGAGGATGGATCAAAGTGAATACGGATGGAGCATGTAGAGGGAACCTAGGAAGGAGTTCAATTGGTTTCTGCATAAGGGATGAGGTAGGTGATTGATATATGCAGAAGGAAGGGAGATTTCTGAAGGAACCAACAATGATTCAGAAGCGGTGGCTATTGTGGAGGCATTGAAGATGTGCAAAAATCTTAATTATTTTCAGATATGGCTGCAGACAGATTCTATGCTATTAAAGAACATTATAGAGGAATCATAGAAGCCTCCTTGGTATATTACTGAACATGTAGAGGAGATTTTAAGATTGAAGGAACAAAGTATCATCAAGGTCACACACATATTCAGAGAAGGGAATACATTAGCAGACCACCTTGCTAATTTTGCTCTAGATGAAGGAAATACTGAATGCCATGGTTTCTGGGATATGGACTCAAAAGGAAGGAGGATTATTAACGAAGATCAGATGCAATGTCCTTAAATAAGAGTGAAGGTTGCAAGGAATTAGGAGGAAAAATGGGAAGGAACAAAACCAAAAAGGAGATAAATATGGAGTGGAACAAAGGCAAAATGAGGAGGAGAAACGGAAAGGACTTAACTGATCAGCAGGGTCGAATCCTATGGGAAGAGATCTTGATGATCATCTGTTATACTAACATTTGGTGTTTCTGTGCAGGAAATGGTAATGTAGAAATGACTTATCATGATTGTCAATTTCAATGGGTGGTATTAATACATGGTACTCAATCCCTTGAAAGAGATATTATGATATGCACAAGCAGGTAACAAAGGAACAGAATGCCCAACTCTTTTACATGGGGCAGTGAAGTTGAGTCTAATGCACAAGTTGTGATACAACCTCGAGTATCACAATGCTTATGGCATTCAGTTCAGCAACATTTCGACACAACATCCGATAAAGAACAAAAGCACTACAATAATCGAGGACAACAGGAATGGCTAAAGTCATTGGAAACACATCCAACATGGGGTGCTCGCATGACTTCATTTCCTTGGATATACAACCGGCATGTTGCAGAAATGTCTACTTTCGAGGAGAATATGGCCATTAAACAAAAACCAACGCAGCATTTCTTTTTGTGTAATGCACGCCTGTTTCGAAAAAGACAATCGCAACTTATGTTTTGTGTAATGCACACCTGTCTCGTTGGATGTTATGCATGCCTGTTTCCTTGGGAATATTCAGAGTTCCGGACCAATAAACCATGCCTGTTTCGCTGGATGTTATGCACGCCTGTGGAAAGATGCACGCATGGCTGCAGGCTGATTTCAAAACAAAAGCAGCGGGGGCGTGCTTTTTTGGGAGGCCATTTTAAATTCCAACAATGATGCACGGCTGTTTTGACATGAAATTGCACGCTGGAATTGTTTCTCTCATTGCTGGAGATGCACGCATGGCCTAAGCATGGGGTGAGCCTGACTTTGAAGAAAGGCGTCCAGCAAGAAGGCATGCGCATGGGGTCTTGACAACAAAAACTGGGACATGTTTTATTGGGATTGCTTTGGACATTTGAGCATGCACTTGATTTGCACAATTCTAGAAAAGATGGACTACACCATGTGCGACCACAGGGATGCAATTTGGAAAGAATCTTGATGCATGCATGGATACTGGCAGCATTCAAAACAAAAGTTGTTGGGGCGTGTCTTTTTGGGATGACATTTTAAAATAAAATAGGGATACACACCTGTTTTCAAATGGAATTACGCACTGGAAATGCAACGCACGCTGGACAATGAATTGGAATTTGCTACTTTGGTATTGCATGTTTTCTCACATTATTGGAGATGAACGCATGGCATATGCATGGGGTGAGCTTGACTTTGAAGAAAGGTGGTCAGACTGGATAATCGTCTGCCTCTTTTGCGACTATATTGGGAATGGGATAGCGCATGTTATGACAGTTCATGGATACAACTGTATTAAATGAAAGCATGATTTCGAGAAGCAAGCTATGTGTTCGACAAAAGCTGTAATTAAATAATAGGATGCCAGCTCGGTTTCGACAAGCAGAAGAGGATGCACAAACAATAAACATGAGCAATTTTACACTAAGAACTTGCTCGAAAAGCAGCATTTCTCAGTGGGTAAAGATCAAGGCGCAAACACTGGGACCAATATCTGGTGGATCAGGAGGGCTTGCACAAAGATACATCATCACGAAAGTTTGGCAGAATCAAGAATCAAGAATTCAAATGCACGGCGGCTATACAAGCAAAATCTAGGCAGTGGCTACATGGTTAAGAGCCTATATGTGCAATATGCAAAATTTGAATTTGTACTCTCGTACTAATAAGCTGCAGGGCAAAGATTTTTCGTTAATAACCATATCAGTCCATATATGATACCAATGTAGAGCTCCGTTCTCAATATTGGTAATAGGTATTATGTAATAGTCATAGTTATTTTTTCCATTTTGCAAAAAAAAAAACATTTCTGCAAAGCCCATCTTTCTCAAAACTTTGGTCAGAAAATTCCATGACAATCTATCGTATGCCTTTGTCATGTCTAGTTTGATTACCACATTAGGACCTGCCTTAGTTCTTAGTCTAATATCAGTGATGATTTCCTGTGTCAGTAAGATATTTTTCACTATGCTTCTGCCCTTCACAAATCCTGCTTGTTCATCAGAAATTAGTGTAGGGAGAATACCAATTAACCTCTCATGAATGACTCGAGAAAACACCTTATTGATGAAATTGCTTAAGCTGATTGGTCTCATATCAAAAAAGTTGATTACATCTTTCATCTTTGGTAATAATACCAGGTTTGTATGGGTGATAAACCTAGGTTGTTCTTGCCCATTTAAAAAAGCATTCACCATCTCCACCACATCATCACCTATTATATCCCAACATGAGTGGAAAAAACTACCATTGAAT